CATTTCCATTGATGTCAGAGTGATTAGAGGGACAATAGAGTGCTGAGTACCAGGCAGTTAGCAAGTTTGGTAGGCTGCTAATGACCATCAGCAGCATCAGAGCTTGGAGAAGCCTAATTACCGTGACTAAACGGTCACATGTAATTTTACTGCCTTCATGACTCGTGACCGCCGGTGTGGCGGTAATACGGTCACTGCAACAGCCCTATTGCTGCATCTTCTCTACTGTCTCTAGCTGTCCGTCTGTCTGTCTGTGCTTCTCCTTGTTGACCTCTGTGTGTCACTGTTTGTCTTTGCGTCTCCTTGTGCTCCTCTGTTGTCACTCTGTCTGTCACTCCTAAGCAATAAAGCAAGATGCATGCCAGCAAAGCCACAACACAACACTAAACAATACAATAATTGCACTATAACGGTGACAAACTGTGCTGTTAGGGCCTAATTAAAGCTGTCCCAACAGCAGAGTCCCAACAGCAGAGTCCCAACACCTTACCACTGCTACACATCTGGCTAACCAGCGGAGCCTTGTCTGGCACCGAAACAGTTCATTCAGCCTCATTTACCGCCTTTGTTAAAAAGCTGATATGGCTGACTTGCTTAAACAAATGTACAAACTAATTTTGATTAAGACAATAATGAGCGAGCTAGGACAGACGTAGTCAATATAACTATTTGTTCAGCACTTTTGAAATGTACAGCGACAGAATTGAGAACATGGGCCGTTCTTATAGTGTTCTCCCTGTACACCAAGTCAGAACCGTAGGATAAATGAAGGGGGCATATAAGCAGACAATGAAAGCTCTTACAATATTATATGATTACATTTCTCTAAAACAGGCTATAGGCTACATGTGCACCACCAAGTCAGAATAGTAGGACTAAGTTATGTGGTTGGAAAGGGACCAAATTATTAGGGTGAGGCACATGGGCTACTAACAGCTTACTACACAACATACACTTAGTATTACTTTCTTAGCTACAGTATACATATTTCCCTGGCATATTACATCATTTATGCAGCAGCACACAATACATTTTTGGACTCACCTTGTTGTGCTGTGCTCACTTGAACAGGAAGGTGGCATTTGTCATCAAACGTTGTCATCAAAGTCTGGCATTCTCTGGATTTATGGTGCTTTTAAGACAACTGGGAACTCTGAAAAAAACAAGGTAGAATCATGACGTCAGTGATCTTTAGGTTGGAGCTCTAGAAAGAGGCCCGAGTTCCCGACTTGGAATTCCGAGTTGGATGACCGTTCAAAAAGTTTTTTTCCCAGTCGGAGCTCATTTCTTTCAGAGTTCCCAGTTGTCTTGAACTCACTGAAGTCTGAGATTTCCCAGTTGTATTGTGTTTTGGAAGGTGTTTTATGTTTCTCTGTTTTGTAATGTTTCAAAGGTCTATTGTTATACCGGCATCTACGTATGCTCTAATGTCTAGCTGGTTAATGTATGTAATGTAAGGTTGGGGTAATTAAACTGAATGTCAGACCAGAATTCTCTTCATGCAGCTAGCTATGTCATATTTCACATTCAAATGAAGTCTCGGAAATGTGTGTGAGAGTGCGTGGGTGATGTATATGTGTGTTAGTGTGTATGTAACAGGATAGATCTTGTCTCACCTTTAGGACCTCTCTTTAGAAATGGTTGAACTGGATCGAACCCGGTCTGAGACTTAGTCTGGTTGGAAAGGGCAGGGAATGGTAATAAAATAAACATTGAATAAGCAAACAGTATATCATCTTTTCCTAGCCTGGAAAGACCAGGCCCCTTAGACTCTTCAATGGCCTTCAAGGGTAGACTGAGGCTTCGACTGTGTATGTATTGAGTTTTTCTGATCAGGGCCATTTTAATTCCTTGCTGACTGATTCTCCTGATGACACCTCTAGTTTTCCTGATCAGGGCCATTTTAATGCCTTTCTGACTGATTCTCCTGATGACAGCTCTGGTTTTCCTGATCAGGACCATTTTAATACCTTTCTGGCTGATTCTCCAGAGGACCGAAGAGGAGGGTGGCTCCCCCTGTGGATCAATGTCCCAACTGCACTACATGGCCGGCTTCGGGGGAGAGGGCAGGGCCGAACTAGAACCTGAGCTGGGATTGGCTTCCGAGGGGAGTGACAGCAGCCACGACCAATCGACCTCTCCCGGCTCGCCCCACAACGACAGGAAGCGACCGCACACAGAGCTGCACGAGGACGTGGAGATGGGCGGCTCCGGGAGCGGGACCGAATCCCACTGTAACGAGTCTCACGGCAATGAGTCCCATGGCAACGAGTCCCATGGCAACGAGTCAGTGGGCAGCTCCAACGGCAGTTCTGCAAAAGACTCTGCCCTGATGGAGTCATCTGGGAGCAACAAGAAGTGAGTTCTTGCTGTCCCAGTGCATTATGGTTAATATAATGTATCCTAGGGCTGGAAATTGCTAGGGACCATACGATCCGATATTATCACGATTTGATGTTCCAAACATATTGCTCACCATGTCTGCTGCAGAGAGACGAGAGCATGAGAAAATGAGTTTTGATCAGACAGGGAAATAAAAGGGCTGAAAAGATGTTGGCTCACTATTTAAAAAGAAGATGGAGAACAAGCTATAAGATGAAAAATACCAGAGTTTTGGTGCCGGTACAGCCGACTAGTGCTAGCTAACTCTACCTATAGTATCGCTACCAAATATTGATATAATATCTTCCAAATATAATATTGCGATATGTAATTGTATCTATATATATATTTTTTTTTCATCACTAGTGTCTCCCCACCACCTCCACGGGTGGAAATACCCTGATATATAATGGAAGTATGCTTTGTTAGGTAATTCGAGCAGGGGCGGTGTGTTCAATAGGGCGATATGGGCGACGCACTGCCAAACGGGAAAAGGAAGGGATTTTTTTTCTAATCAATTATATCACGGCAACAGTAGTTATCAGTGTTCTAATCTGATCTGACTGCCACTAAATGTCAAATCAGGCTAAAGTCGTGCTTCAAATGGCCCCGCCCGTTTTTGGGGCGATTTCAGTCATGTTGAAAATCGCCCAGAAGTCTGTCATAGACTCCCATGTAAAATCTATTTTTTTCAAATTTCAAAGCTTTCAATACAATCTCTATGGGTGTCTGTGGGCTTGCACTTACGCGCTTTCGTCATACGTGACGTAACCATGAACGTAACTAAGAAAATAGCGGCTAGCAGCGTCTCTGTTGCGACCTGCAGTGTGGCGTTATCTTATGTTTTTAATTTGTACACTTAGTGGCGTTATTTTATGTTTTTAATTTGTACACTTAGTTTACAAACATTCTGCCAACCATGGATTTCCAGTGGTGGGTTTTGGACTGATCTTGTTGATCGTGTACATACCCGCTACGAACGGACTAAATAATGAAAACGCTGCTGGCAGCGGAATCCAATACAGCTGGGAGACTTGGCTGGATGACAGAGTCCCGGACAGAGAAGTGGAGCCGGCCGGCTTCACCCTGGTCAGAGCGGACCGCGATCTGACACAGTCACAGGGAAAATCGATCCTGGTAAGAGAGCGACTCTGTACCCCGACATTGAACTGCTTTCTGTGTCACTGCGACCTTACTATCTGCCCCGTGAGTTCCCCCAATTGTTTGTTACCGTTGTGTACTGTTGATAATCACAAGTTTACTGGAGAACTGAGACCAAGTAGAGACTTTGGACAGGGTGGATATGGTATAATAAAGGCAGTTTATTCAGAGGTAAAGATATCTGGAATCGCGTGCACGGACTCGTTCGTCAAACTCTTAGGGAGCTATCTGAAGAGAGCCCCGAAAACATTGTGTGCAGACATTTTATACAATAAATGATGTAGGTTGAATCTAGTAGTTCTGATCTTCTGATTGGTCCTGATGAGTTGGGCGAGGTCCCCTCCACTGTTGCATTGGCTCTGAGTCGGGTTCTCTGTCTTCAAATGTTCAGCCTAAAGAGAGGGGATTTTTGTGTGTGTGTGTGTGTGTGTTTAACAGTGATGATGTGTGTGTGTGTGTGTGTGTTATCAGTGATGATGTGTGTGTGTGTGTGTGTGTGTGTGTGTGTGTGTGTGTGTGTGTGTGTCCTCAGAGCAAGAACTCGTGAGTTGGAAGAACTGAGAGACCTATGGCGTGGGTGTTGTCCTTGGCCACCTGCTGACAAGGCTGACAAGATAGGACTCTTTTGTCCATTGTTATAGGATAGGAACAGCATTGATTGAAAACAAACGCCCAACACAAAATGGGTCATGCACAAGATTTTAGTCAGACCAAGCTATAACATTATATATTTACTACGACAGTACATTCAACCAAAAGCTAATATAACAAAGGCATCAGAGATTATTTATAATCTGTCACAGAAACTGGAATCCATCTCCCCAGATCAGTCAATAAATGCTTCTGGTATTGACTTATATGCTGCCCCTGTCTTCATGTTGTTGCTGGACATATCTTTTTTAAAATGTGTGTAGGTCACCTAAATCATCAGAAAAATTGCCCCTCCTGAGAATTTTTTCAGGAGCCACCACTGAATTCGAGGTAGTGCAGTGAGGTGTTCTGCTGGTAATGGAGGGTCATTTTGCAGTGACTAAGTCATTGTTGTATTCCATTAGAGAGCACCAGACACAGAGAAGAGCAGGGGCCCCACCACTACTTCTCTCCAGGAACAGAGATGTCCATCACACGAAGGCTGTAGCTGTGTCCCCTGGCTGGTCATGGCGGTACCTGTGATCTCATAGGGGTCTTATGTGATTGGTTTGGGCTACAATATGTTATGCAACAGACAATTGTGCATATAGCTGTGTCCCCTGGCTGGTCATGGCAGTACCTCTTATCATAGGCACGTCTCACAGGGCTCTTATGTGATTGGTTCAAGCCACAATTTTTTCTACAATAGACAATTTTGCAGATACATTGTATCTTTTTGGTCAAGGATGTCATAATGATCTGTTCAGTACCGCTGGAGCAACTGATGTAACTGTGGTTTCTCCGTCTTGGCTTATTGGACTGAAGAGATGGAAGGTCAGCTGTTGTGTAATCGCCTCTCTCTGGCACCCGTATCCATGGCGATGATGATGATGCTATAACTTTATCACAGAACATCTGCAAGCTTGGCAGTGGAGTAAACAGAGGTGGTTTACCAGGTACCTCTCACTGAGCTAGTTGGGTAATTGATTCATCAAATGAAAAGATGGTCTGTCGACATGGTCTGACAGACCAGAAGGGGTTCAGGAAGGGACCACATAGCAGAGGAAGTTCCTTTACAATGGGAAGTTGACGCCCATCTCTGGGTGAACAGGAAGCGGAAATAATTAAGTTACCTCTGGTTTGTGCAGCCATTCCTATGGGGAAAATTGATGTGGAAAGAATAGGGTTTGGGATAAACGCAGAAAATAACGTCTGAGGTTAACATTTTACATTTACGTTTTAGTCATTTAGCAGACGCTCTTATCCAGAGAAAATAGGGTTAAGTGCCTTGCCGTAAATAAATAAAGAAAGAAAATTGTGCCTGGTTTGCTTAATATAAGGAATGTTTAATTATTTGTACTTTTACTTTTACTTTTGATACTTCAGTATATTTTAGCAGCTACATTAACTTTTGATACTTAAGTATATTTAAAACCAAATACTTTTAGACTTTTACTCAAGTAGTATTTTACTGGGTGACTGGGTGTTTTTTTTGCCAATAGCACATTTTTACAATTACAGTACAATGAATGCAATGTTATGACCAGGTTCAGGATATTTTGAAATTGATTCTCAATCGTTGCCATGCACGCCTCCAACTCAATCATCAAGTTTGCAGACGACAAAACAGTAGTAGGCTTGATTACCAACAACGATGAGACAGCCTACAGGGAGGAGGTGAGGGCTCTCGGAGTGTGGTGTCAGAAAAATAACCTCTCACTCAATGTCAAAAAAACAAAGGAGATGATTGTGGACTTCAGGAAACAGCAGAGGGAGTACCCCCCTATCCACATCGACGGGACAGCAATGGAGAATAGTCCCCTGTAGCTCAGTTGGTAGAGCATGGCGCTTGCAACGCCAAGGTTGTGGGTTCGTTTCCCACGGGGGGCCAGTATGAAAATTTATGCACTGACTAACTGTAAGTCGCTCTGGATAAGAGCGTCTGCTAAATGACTAAAATGTAAATGTAAAATGAGAACTTGGAAAGTTTTAAGTTCCTCGGCGTACATATCACTGACAAACTGAAATGGTCCACCCACACAGACAGTGTGGTGAAGAAGGCGCAACAGCGTCTCTTCAACCTCAGGAGGCTGAAGAAATTTGGCCTGTCACCTAAAACCCTCACAAACTTTTACAGATGCACAATATGGAGCATCCTGTTGGGCTGTATCACCGCCTGGTACGGCAACTGCACAACCCACAACCGCAGGGCTCTCCAGAGGGTGGTGTGGTCTGCACAACGCATCACCGGGGGCAAACTACCTGCCCTCCAGGACACCTACAACACCCGATGTCACAGGAAGGCCAAATAGATAATCAAGGACAACTATCACCCGAGCCACTGCCTGTTCACCCCGCTATCATCCAGAAGGCGAGGACAGTACAGGTGCATCAAAGCTGGGACCGAGAGACTGAAAAACAGCTTCTATCTCAAGGCCATCAGACTGTTAAACAGCCATCACTAGCACAGAGAGGCTGCTGCCTACATACAGACTTGAAAATCACTGGCCACTTTAATAAATGGAACACTAGTCACTTTAATAATGCCACTTTAATGTTTACATATTTTGTATTACACATCTCATATGTATATACTGTATTCTATACTATCTATTGCATCTTAGACTATGCCACTCTGAGAATGATAATGACATTGCTCATCCATGTATTTATATATCCTTATTCCATTCCTTTACTTAGATTTTTGTGTATTAGGTTTTTGTTGTAGAACTGTTAGTTAGTACTTGCTAGATATTGCTGCACTGTCGGAACTAGAAGCACAAGCATTTCGCTACACTCGCAATAACATCTGCTAACCATGTGTATGTGACCAATACATTTTATTTTATTTGATCTTTAATATGTTTTTGTTTTGTCGAATAGTCTTTCTCATCACAGGAAAGATAGTGTACATCTCGGACCAGGCGGCAACCATCTTGCATTGCCAACGGGAGGGGTTCACCGACGCTAAGTTTGTAGAGTTCCTGACCCCTCAGGATGTCAGTGTGTTCTACAGCTTCACCACACCCTACCGCCTGCCCTCCTGGAGCATGTGTCCTGGAACAGGTACCTATCACCCTTCTACTCACGCAGACGTACAGTTGAAGTCGGAAGTTTACATACACTTAGGTTGGAGTCATTAAAACTTGTTTTTCAACCACTCCACAAATTTCTTGTTAAACAAGGTTCATCCTTGGGAGCAATTTCCAAACGCCTGAAGGTACCACGTTCATCTGTACAAACAATGGTACGCAAGTATAAACACCATGGAACCACGCAGCCGTCATACCACTCAGGAAGGAGATGCGTTCTGTCTCCTAGAGATGAACATACTTTGGTGCAAAAAGTGCAAATCAATCCCAGAACAACAGCAAAGGACCCTGTGAAGATGCTGGAGGAAACAGGTACAAAAGTATCTATATCCACAGTAAAACAAGTCCTATATCGACATAACCTGAAAGGCCGCTCAGCAAGGAAGAAGCCACTGCTCCAAAACCGCCATAAAAAAGCAAGACTACGGTTTGCAACTGCACATGGGGACAGAAATCGTACTTTTTGGAGAAATGTCCTCTGGTCTGATGAAACAAAAATATAACTGTTTGGCGATAATGACCATTGTTATGTTTGGAGGAAAAAGGGGGTAGCTTTCAAGCCGAAGAACACCATCCCAACCGTGAAGCACGGGGGTGGCAACATCATGCTGTGGGGGTGCTTTGCTGCAGGAGGGACTGGTGCACTTCACAAAATAGATGGCATCATGAGGAAGGAAAATTATGTGGATATATTGAAGCAACATCTCAAGACATCAGTCAGGAAGTTAAATCTTGATCGCAAATGGGTCTTCCAAATGGACAATGACCCCAAGCATACTTCCAAAGTTGTGGCAAAATGGCTTAAGGACAACAAAGTCAAGGTATTGGGGTGGCCATCACAAAGCCCTGACCTCAATCCTATAGAAAATGTGTGGGCAGAACTGAAAAGGCGTGTGTGAGCAAGGAGACCTACAAACCTGACTCATTTACACCAGCTCTGTCAGGAGGAATGGGCCAAACTTCACCCAACTTATTGTGGGAAGCTTGTGGAAGGCTACCCGAAACGTTTGACCCAAGTTAAACAATTCATGGCAATGCTACCAAATACTAATTGAGTGTATGTAAACTTCTGACCCACTGGGGATGTGATGAAAGAAAAAAAGCTGAAATAAATCATTCTCTCTGCTGTTATTCTGACATTTCACATTCTTAAAATAAAAATAAGTGGTGATCCTAACTGACCTAAGACAGGGAATTTTTACTAGGATTAAATGTCAGGAATTGTGAAAAACTGAGTTGAAATGTATTTGGCTAAGGTGTATGTAAACTTCCGACTTCAACTGTATCTCTTCCCTTCTACGCACTCAACGATACAAGCAGTTACTACAGTACACACGCATACGCATAAGGAATCACATCTACACTCATATCCTGTGGATATTGATGAGCAGCAGGTAGGCTGTTTGAAATACACTCAACTGGATTCATCTGGCTGATTGGATATATATTCATCCTCTCTCTCTCTCTCTCCTCTCTCTCTCTCTCTCTCTCTCTCTCTCTCTCTCTCTCTCTCTCTCTCTCTCTCTCTCTCTCTCTCTCTCTCTCTCTCTCTCTCAGAATCGTCTTCCACAGAGTACATGCTGGAAAAATCCTTCTTCTGCCGCATCAGGTGAGTGAGATGTAGATAGAACTATGATCGATGGTTTCCTGCTCTAACAGTCTGACTCAGAGGAGGGGGGAGAGGGAGACAGACACGGGTGGGGGAATTAGAGTGGTATGGAGAGAGGAGGGATGTGAAGGGGGGTGAGGGAGTCAGCTTTGGACTTTTATCACCACCTAGTGGTCAGGGACTCTACTAAGGTGCTCTGTGTGATGTAAAGAAGCAATTTAGTGTTGAACAGGGGGAGGTAGCGTTGGTGTGTGTGTATGTATGTATGTGTGTATATATATACAGTACCAGTCAAAAGTTTGGACACACCTACTCATTCCAGGGTTTTTCTTTATTTTTACTATTTTCTACATTGTAGAATAATAGTGAAACATCAAAACTATGAAATAACACATAAGGAATCATGTAGTAACCAAAAAAGTGTTCAACAAATCAAAATATATTTTATATTTGAGATTCTTCAAAGTAGCCACCCTTTGCCTTGATGACAGCTTTGCACACTCTTGGCATTACCTCAACCAGCTTCATGAGGTAGTCACCTGGAATGACTTTCAATTAACAGGTGTGCCTTGTTAAAAGTTAATTTGTGGAATTTCTTTCCTTCTTAATGTATTGAGCCAATCAGTTGTGTTGTGACAAGGTAGGGTTGGTATACAGAAGATATACCTATTTGGTAAAAGACCAAGTCCATATTATGGCAAGAACAGCTCAAATAAGCAAAGTGAAATGACAGTCCATCATTACTTTAAGACATGAAGGTCAGTCAATGCGGAAACATTTCAAGAACTTTTAAAGTTTCTTCAAGTGCAGTCGCAAAAACCATCAAGCGCTATGATAAAACTGGCTCTCATGAGGACCGCCACAGGAAAGGAAGACCCAGAGTTACCTCTGCTGCAGAGGATAAGTTCATTAGAGTTACCAGCCTCAGAAATTGCAGCCCAAATAAATGCTTCACAGAGTTCAAGTAACAGACACATCTCAACATCAACTGTTCAGAGGAGACTGCGTGAATCAGGCCTTCATGGTCGAATTGCTGCAAAGAAACCACTACTAAAGGACACCAATAAGAAGAAGAGACTTGCTTGGGCCAAGAAACACGAGCAATGGACATTAGACCAGTGGAAATCTGTCCTTTGGTCTGATGAGTCCAAATTTGTGAGACGCAGAATAGGTGAACGGATGATCTCTGCATGTGTGGTTCCCACCGTGAAGCATAGAGGAGGAAGTGTGATGGTGTGGTGGTGCTTTGCTGGTGACACTGTCAGTGATTTATTTTGATTTCAAGCCACACTTAGCATGGTTACCACAGCATTCTGCAGTGATACGCCATCCCATCTGGTTTGCGCTTAGTGGGACTATCATTTGTTTTTCAGCAGGACAATGACCTAACACACCTTCAGGCTGTGTAAGGGCTATTTGACCAAGAAGGAGAGTGATGGACCAATTTGTAAGTCGCTCTGGATAAGAGCGTCTGCTAAATAACTTAAATGTAATGTAAATGATGGAGTGCTGCATCAGATGACCTGGCCTCCACAATCACCCGACCTCAACCCAATTGAGATGGTTTGGGATGAGTCGGACCGCAGAGTGAAGGAAAGTGGTCCTCTGTAGCTCAGCTGGTAGAGCACGGCACTTGTAACGCCAAGGTAGTGGGTTCGATCCCCGGGACCACCCATACACAAAAATGTATGCACGCATGACTGTAAGTCGCTTTGGATAAAAGCGTCTGCTAAATGGCATATTATTTATTATTATTAAAAGCAGCCAACAAGTGCTCAGCATATGTGGGAACTCCTTCAAGACTGTCGGAAAAGCATTCCAGGTGAAGCTGGTTAAGAGAGGAACAGTGATAAACAGTCATTCACAACACCCCATCTGTTTGGGTGTGAGGCTGATGTGCATCTTCAACTTCTAGTGTCTCTGTTCTTGATCTCTGTAATAATGTGTACGGATGTTGTTTGTGATCATTTAACCGTAACATCTGGTGTCTCCATCAGGGCTGTTCCATTATTGGCGTACCACCCCCAGGACCTGATCGGAACCCTTGTTCTGCTGCACCTTCACCCCAGTGACCGGCCACTCATGCTGGCCACCCACCGCAAGAGTGAGACTCTCTTTGATTCAGACCGATCTGATTGATTGATTAGGATTACTTCCAAAACAGATACACTATATAACTAAAGTAAGTCTAGACTCAATGTGTGAATGACCGAGCAGCACATTTAAGAGGAGAAGGACTGGAGTCTATTTAAATAAGAGTTGAAAATAAATTGACCCAACCCTATTATGTAGCCAAAAACATACAGAGGTAGAAAGCATCCAATTACACACTCCTACACCCGCTCTCTCTCTCTTTCTGTCTGTCTATCTAACAGTTCTGCAGTACATGGGCCAGCCTTTTGACCACTCTATCCGGTTCTGTGCGCGGAACGGCGAGTATGTCACTATAGATACCAGCTGGTCCAGCTTCGTCAAACCCTGGAGCCGCAAGGTCTCCTTTGTCACCGGCAGGCACAAAGTCTGCATGTGAGTCACACACACACTCAAATGGTCGGTAGTGACACATAAAAAATATATCAGGCCAGTGAGGCATCACTGGAGTGTCAGTTATGCATCAGTGTTTATGAAATGTAATTAGACATTGTGTATCTGATGTTTCAGGGGTCCAGTAAATGAAGACGTGTTTGCAGTTTCTGCCGTCACAGAGGGGAATTTAATGGACTCTGACATCCAGGAGATCCCTGAGCAGATCCACAGGCTGCTGCTGCAGGTCAGCACACACAGACACATACACACACACACACACACACACACCTTACAATTCGCATTATTTCTCACATGCCACTATCCTCTGTGTGTTTCTATAACAACACTTTTCCTCCTACAGCCGGTCCACAACATGGGCTCCAGTGGTTATGGTAGCCATGGCAGCAACGGTTCCCACGAGCAGCTGCTGAGTGTGGGGTTGCCTAGCGAGACCAATGGGAACGCCTTTGAGAACAGGAATGTGGTTGAGGAGCCAGGCAAATCCAAGCCGGTGAGTTGATGCCACTCTCTGCATTTCTTCCCTGGTTGTCTTCAGTATTCTAAATCATTATCTCATCATTTTCTTCGCTCGATCACTTGCTCTGTCTCTCTTCCCCACTCACGCCATCTCTCTATCTGCATGTATGTGTCTTACAGAGGACATTCCAGGAGATCTGTAAAGGGGTACATATGTTGAAGAGTCAGGACCAGCAGGTCTACTCTCCCTACCCCTCTCCCTCCAAACCTGAATCCATGAAAACCACAGACAGTAAATGGTGTGTGTTGGAAAATATTGACGTTTTTGATCTTGTGTGTGTATGTATATGCACATGCCTGTGAGAGTGTGTGTTTGCTAACAGACGTGTGTCTTCAGCAGGAGCTCAGCAGCTGAAGAGTCTTGTGGTGTTTCTGAAGGACTCAGCGGTGCCCCCTCTGCTGGTCAAGGACAGTACTGCTACTGCTGCTGCCAGTGTGGAGGAGGTCACCTGTAGCGACCAGACTGTCTACTCCTACCAGCAGATCAGCTGTCTGGACAGTGTCATCAGGTATCTGGAGAGCTGTATCACCCCCGTCACGGTGAAGAAGTACCAGTTCTCCAACACCACATCCTCTAACTCTGACGAGGACAAGAAGGACTCAGAGACCACTATGTAGGTCTCACAAGGTGTATATACAATATCTCCATCACACTCCCAAACATCCCATAGAAATAATCACTCTAAAGCTTGATGTGTGAGCATAACGAACAGCAGTGCCTTCTCCACCCTCTGTCCTCCAGATCCAGGACTGTCTATGAAGGCCCCTAAGAAGTCTCCCTCTGGCGCCGCCCCGGTGGTGGGAGGGCCCCTGGCCCTGCCCAGCAAGGTTGAGAGCGTGGTGTCAATCACCAGCCTGTGTAGCTACAGCAGCACCATCGTCCATGTAGGAGACAAGAAACCCCAGCCAGAATCTGGTGAGCATACACACACACACACGCACACACACTGTGTTATGGGGCGGCGCACAATTGGCCCAGCGTCGTCCAGGGTAGGGGAGGGAATGGCCGGCAGGGATGTAGAGCATGGCATTTGCAACGCCAGGGTTGTGGGTTCGATTCCCACGGGGGGCCAGTATGAAAAATAAAAAGATAATGTAAGTCGCTCTGGATAAGAGCGTCTGCTAAATGACTAAAATGTAATGTAAATGTTAGGTTTCATTCTAATTGGCTGTTTCCTGTGATTGTTATCTCCAGAGATTGCTGAGAGTCCCGCCCCCCCCAGCGCTGCCAGTCAGTGTGGTATCTCTGCCCACCCAGGAGAAGGAGGCCTATAAGAAGCTGGGGCTGACCAAGCAGGTGTTGGCAGTGCACACACACAAGGAGAAGCAAGCCTTCCTTACCCGCTGTAAGGAACTCTGCAATGCCAGAACCTTCCAGAAAGACTGCTCCACCTACCTGCACAGACAGAGAGGTCTGACCAACACGCAGGGTAAGGAAAATGCATAGTTACATACACACAGAAATGTGGAAATGTGGCTTTGGAAACATCTGAGCTAGACGATAAGACCCATCTCATAGATGTTCTTGACTGACTGTGTTGTGTCTTCTCTCCTCAGAAGCCGCAGGTACCGGGGGCGTTGCTAAACAGAGCGCGGCCAGTCCCGAGGCCTCCCCCGCTGCAGCCAAGAAGGGCAGTGGTGCGTGTCGCCAGTCCGGCCCGGCCCGTTCCTGCCCCTCGCACCAAGCCAGTGGTGCGTGTTCCTAGTCAGGTCCGGCCCGTGCCTACTCCTCGCACCAGACCAGTGGTGCGTTTGTCCAGTCCGGCATGGCCCGTGCCCATTCCACCGGTGCCTGGTCCGGCACCGGTCAGCTGCTCCACTCCGGAGCCAGAGCAGTCCGCTCCACCGGTGCCTGATCCAGTTCCGGTCAGCTGCGCCACTCCGGAGCCAGAGCAGTCCGCTCCACCGGGGTCCAGTCCAGCTCCGGTCAGCGGCTCCACTCCGGAGCCAGAGCAGTCCGCTCCACCGGTGCCTGATCCAGCTCCGGTCAGCGGCTCCACTCCGGAGCCAGAGCAGTCCGCTCCACCGGTGCCCAGTCCAGCTCCGGTCAGCGGCTCCAGTCCAGACCATGACGTCAGCCCTTCTCCAGGTTCGGGGTCTCCCACACCAGGGTCCAGACAGGGCCTGGCGTATCGTGGGAGGAAGGAGAGGAGAAGCAGCGCACCGAGGTCCAGACCAGACCAGGGGTGCAACAGGGAGGCGGAGAGTATGAGGTCGTCACGCCCGGAGCCGGAGCCGGACCCTGTTAAGTGAAGGTTGTGCGGTCGGAGTCCGCACCTTTGGGGGGGGGTACTGTCACGCCCTGACTCAGGGGACTCGTATATGTTGAATCAGGGTGTGTATATCTTTGTTGTGTATATTCTATGTTGTCGATCTAGTATGTGTGGATCTATGTTGGCCGGTGTGGTTCCCAATCAGAGGCAGCTGTCGCTCATTGTCTCTGATTGGAGATCATACTTAGGCAGCCTATTGGCACTAGTGTGTTGTGGGATCTTGTTCCTGGTAAGTCCTTAGTTGTGTATTCTACCTTAGGACTTCACGTTTCGTTTCGTTTATTGTTTTGTCGTGTGTTTATTAAGTTTAATAAACATGTACGTATATCACGCTGCGCCTTGGTCTGTCCCGTCATTCAACGAACGTGACAGTCCCTCTCTCTGATATCTGACTATAAGATTAAATGGACGGAGAGACCAACTCTATGCACCATTTTAGAGACCTCAATCTATTCTCATATTTTTGTGCAAATATATGTGGCGACACTCCCTGTGAACCACCTGTATGTAATGCACATAGATCTGTATAGGCTGTTACTGGGAGATATGAGCTGTTACGAATGTTCATAGCAAGTCTTACAATGCACTATACCACCTTTTGTGTAATGCGTTATGATTAAGCAATAAGTGCCTAGATACAGCCCTTAGCCGTGGTATATTGGCAATATACCACAAACCCCTGAGGTGCCTTATTGCTATTATAAACTGGTTACCAACGTAATTAGAGCAGTACAAATAATGTATTTGTCATACCCGTGGTATAAGGTCTGATATATCATGGCTTTCAGCCAATCAGCATTCAGGGCTCGAACCACCCAGTTTATAAATGCATTTAAAGCATTTGTGCATTTATGGAGCCTATAACTTAGTGTTATAGTAAGGCTTATGTTGAAAGAAGGCACTGTAAATGCATTCATACCATATTCACAGGTGGTTCACAGAAAGTGTTTATTTTTTATCTGTAAATCCATACACTGACTTGGTGCGAACACCTTACAAATTATTTGCATTGGAGTTCTTGACACAAACCGGTGCGCCTGGCACCTACTACCATACCACTTTAAAAGGTACTTTAATATTTTGTCTTGCCCGTTCACCCTCTGAATGGCACATATAAGCAATCCATGTCTCGAGGCTTAAAAATCCTTCTTTAACCTGTCTCCTCCCCTTCATCTACACTGATTGAAGTGGAATTAACAAATTACATCAATAAGTGATCATAGCTTTCACCTGGTCAATCTATGTCATTGAATGAGCAGGTGTTCTTTATGTTTTGTACACTCAATGTATATTTGTCACATAGCCACTTTGAGAACCTGATATTTTAGCACAGTTCATTGCATTTTTGTAGGTGCATTAAAATGTTAAAAACGTATCCCTTTCCCCCCAGTGTTAATCTGGACAGGTAAGGGTTTGTTTTGTTGTGATGGTGGTCCATGGGGTTTTCACCCTACATTTTACTTGAATGGCTATAATAATATTTTATGGCTGGAACCTGATGAAGAAGGCATAAACTCTGATGGCAACATCGTGTGACTATTGTTCAAAAGCTGCAGGCAATTTCGACTATAGACCTATTGGGATATTGGCCTCTGACTCAAATCAGTGTAGTCTATGGGAGGGTTATCTGTTTATGAGTGTTGTGCGAGTGAAAGCATCAAACAGAGCGGGGAAAGCTCACAAGAAACTGTCAGAGCGGATAAAGGGCTAGGCTGAGGCGTTCTGTTGTTAGATCAGTGATTGTTCTTCAGCGTCAAAGACAGTTGAGAGGAGAGACGCATCCAAGGATGGAATGGGAGTCCCAGGGGATCCGTTTCAGAGCCATATGCTCTCATCCACGTTTGAAATCCTCATGCCAACTGGCACCGGCCACTAACCTTTAACCCCGGAATTCAAATTCACCGTCACGAATCCGCAGCTGATGCGTTTGGATGCTGTGCAATTGTAATTTTACCCTTGTCATTCACGGGACGCTAAAACGATTTTTGTAATGTCGTCAACATGTCAAATGTCACTTTAGATTAATGGTGATGAGGCGCTATTAGGATAAAGATTGGAAACAGGGTCGGGGTCCCTGTATTGACGCAACAGACTGCTTTATGCCATTTGGGACTATGAGTTTACCAAGCAACAACCGGGTTTGGGAAACTAATGGGGAAAATGGCTCATGATACAGATGTCATCATTACAAAAGTCTATGAATTGGTCTTAGAATAAACTATATTATAGTTTTGTTGTAGCCGAAGTTATTTGTTTTCTTATTCTTTAGGCATACATTTCTTAAAAAATATCACTACCTTTCAACTCGCCGGCTTTGTCGCCATTTTGTCAAATGGTAGCCTGCCGATCCAAAGCTTTGATCATTGTGTCCTCCTCTGCTTCAATGCCCGCTGTTCACACCTCGTCAAATGTGTGGCCCAGGTGTGAACAGCTACAAGCCCCCTGCGGCTGCTCAACGCCAATCCGTATTGTCAGCCATTCCTTCATCAAAAACTGACAACAGTCTGTGAATCTATTAATGTGGATTTGACAAGAAATTAACATCCGTGATGAAAGTCTTTTTCAATAAACGTATTTTTTATATATAAGAAATGCCAAAAGTACCCCTAGTTGCAAAAATCCCCAAGCTATTTCAAAGGTTTTTACAGTGGACTTTTCTCTTCTTTATTGGTGGCACTCATTAGTGCACAGTCGGTCTACTGTACTTGTGTTTGAAACATGTCTGTCTAAGCAAATCGATGAGCAAAGGATGTTGAACTTGTGCTCATACTCCACTGTGAGCTATGCATGATAGACTAGGGTATCTAGCCCATAGGCAGGCCAGTCATGTTCGTATCGGTAGTCTATATTCAGCTAACCCAATTGGGTGTTCATGGTCAAAGGGCTAAGTAGGCTAATGGCTTTGGATAGCTGTGCGCAATTATTATGGTTTAGCGCTAATATTCAATTGGAGGCATTGGGAATGGAAGCGCGCAGCACTTTATAGGCTACTTTGCGCACACGTTATTTCAAGTCAAGATTTGGTCTTATGGTGATTAGAAACGTACAGCAATGTGCCTTTTAAAATTATGTCAAGTAATTGTGGTGGTGGTGGTGCCGGTTTATACGACCGACCGTGGACAGGATCTAACGTTGCTCTGTTGAATATGGCAACCATTGTACCTGACGTGTTACCAGTGACACTTGGTGCGGCAAGGCCATCAGAGGTGTGACTTTAGCCAGCTATTGGCGTCGCTTTCCACCGCGCTGGCGGAACCTTTCATGTGCGCACAGGAGGCGAAGCGCGCCTTTGTACCGTAGGAGAGTGTGTGGGAGAAATTAGAAATGGAAGGTGGCTGAACTGGACGCGACACAGACCTAATAATTTATTCGACTGAAATGAGATGATAACGGAATCGCTCTATCATTTTTTATTAAGAGTTATAAAGTATAGGCCTATCACAAATGTATCTTTCAAGATTTACTTCTACATGATTTCTGGACTGTTTCCAGGTGCATTAAAAATGCTGAATGAATAAAATGCCTCAAGCGCAGGATTTTGATAATGGGAGTGTGGCACTGACCTCTTTTCATACGCCTATCATTTTGTTTCAATGCGTTTTTGGCAATTTGATAATTACCTGACCAGTAAGAGGCCTGTAAGTGTTGTTAGTTTATATTTCAGGCTGCAGTGCCTCTTTATTGCTTTAATGTTTGTCAATTGGGCGATTCAATTGACTTGTGATATTAGGTACTCTGCCAATCGTTTAAAATGTTATGCAAACAGACATCAAGTCATTCTAGCCTGAAAGCTTTTTTAATTGGTTTACTTACTTAAACAAAAGCCAGCACATTTTATGCATGAAGACAGTCATTTTCATTAAATTATTTTATTAATCACATTGACATTTTTAGGACAAAACATTCTACACATTGTTACAGCGTCAAGTGGTTGGGGGGAAATATAAGCTTTTCTGTTGAAGGTTACAAGGCAAATAAACTATAGGCTGCACGCCCAATGGCCTTTTCTCTGAACGAATTTTCACTGGGAAAAATAGATTTATAGCCTATTTAAGGCATTGCCGAAGTATTTCGGTCTCTAAAATAGCTTTTTCTTATGCAAATCCTCTATACATATTGAGATATTTACAAAAACAAATATGAACAGTTCCCAATTGCGCAATAGCAGGAAGTGAAATTCCGGCGACATGCGCTTTCCAGGTAACAGACGACGTAACAACCTTGGGTCAGGTAAACTTCAAACTATTCTATAAAATCCCAAAGGCAGACAGTTGACCAGTAGGGCCACTACCACGGCCTCCACATGGATTTGGAGTAGGTGATAGTGGGCATGTTCTGGGCCTCTTGGTTTTCCAGTGCGTCGGTAGCGCTCTGGTTGTGCTCGCTGTCTGTCTCGTACAGGTCAGAGCACAGGTCCTCGCTGGAGGTGGTGGAGGCGGCGGAGGAGAGGGCCGAGGAAGAGCCGTTGGCTATACTTCTGCATCCGGGTGAGGCTAGGGCCACGCACACTGCCTCGCCGGCTGGCCAAGTGCTGCCGTTGTTGCTGGAAGTGTCCGATATTATATCCATAACCATGTCCTGGAAGTGGTCCTCGTTCAAGGGCATACTCTCCAACAGGTGGTTCAGTAGCTCGGCCGCCACCGTCGCGTCTATCCCGGGACAGTTGGACACAAACATATGGACCTCATGCATGCACTGGATGTAGCCTGCTGCAAACCTCTCGCTGGCCTCCCGGTTCAAGATGTCAGTCTCTGAGGAAGAAAGGAAATTAGGCCTACTTAGATTCAATTGCACCTGATATAGGCCTACATCCACTTTAATGAGTGGAGAATAGGGTCAATAGTCTGTGCCATTGCTCACTGCTTACCTTGGGGGCGATCCTTGAGAATGTGCTCCACTTTTTTCACCGTCATCTCCAGAATCTCTGCGTTCTCCACCTTTGACTGAAACCGAGGGGAGACGAAGTGAAAAATATTAGATTTCATTCGCTTCAATGACAGGTATTATTGCAGAGGCTACGCTCAAGCCAATAAGCGCAGCCGCGCCAGGTGAGTCAACAGCGCGGGAGGTGCGCAAAACTCACGTCGGTGTCAGCGAGCAAGATCCGGAGCTCCTGCAAACTCTCATTGATACGAGCACGCCTCTTCTTCTCCACCAAAGGTTTTCTCGCCTGTAACAATGACACATAGGCCTGTTAGTGCGTTTGTAACAATGTAATAACTGCATTACTAGGGTAGGCTACTCTATAGAATGGGATCAGCGACACTACAACCACAGATGCGCCGTACCTTTCTATCCCCTTTATTAATCCCGTAGTAGTCATCCTCATCCATGCCAAGTCCGTTCTTGATGTGCAGAGCCGAGGGGGCCATGTTGGTTTTCAGCCTGAGCCGTGCAGTCAGTCTGAGATCCCAGTTTGTATTCCACTGCTATTTTCCCGATCCGTGAAAGAGAGCAGCTGGCAAACGGACCCGGTCAGAGAAAATCTATACACGACAGGCGAGACGCCCTGTGATTATTGTACAATCTTCGCGAGACGTACTGCTGCCGCTATAGAGCTGTTGTAGGTATTTATAAGAACTAATTTGCATATGAATGTGTGGTTTGTCTGCACTAGCCAGGGGAAAACAGAGCACACACCGCGAGAGCCAATCAGAGCCCTCTCCTTTGTCTTCGGCCAGCCCTTGCTGCGCCGTGAGGATCAGTAGTGGTCACAATAAATCAATTTTTGGGTTGCTTATCCGGCGACAGTGTTTTTTGTTGTTGTTGATCAACCGTAGGCTATTCACTAAGGCTACTGTTTAAGAAATAATGACAATTTTGGAGAAAAAAGTAGCCTATAAGTGCATTGCATGGTAATAACAACGTACGTAACTTATAACATGTTTATAACACGTATTTTGGCATCTTCCATCTTGTTCCAATGTGTGTGCTATCTGTTTGTGTCCTCCAGAACTGCACAGTATAGGCTACATTCTGTGAAAGGAAATAGGATGGGATGCAGGCTGCTATCACAAATGACATACCCATTCAGTGGGTCATCAAAGCTCCAACGTGTCCAATGTATTTCACCAGGTAGGCTAATAGGACTATTTATGGCATAACACTGAGATATTATGCAGATTCCATGTGCCTAGAAAAAAAGACATTTTAGCGGGACATTGCTTTGGACTTGGTCTATTTGTAATATATTTTTCCTTTCAAATCTGCTGATTATATATATATATAAAAAAGGTTATCTCAAGACTCAGTCATTTTCTTCTCTTCTGTTATTTTCTTGCCCTACCCAGCGACATTTTTCGTATGTCTCTGTTCAAGGCTCTGAAGATTTCCCCAGCGCGGGTTCTCGGATGTAACGCGATGCCTTCAGTTGGCAGCTGCTGGCGGAGGCCCCTTGGCCTAAACTGAATCAGCCGGGGAATTAAAGGCCCTTCCCCAAAGAAAGCGACAGGTGTTCGCCTGCCCCTCATTTGTTCTCTCCCTTCTTTGGTGACTTTTGATTTGGGTGCAACTGCACTCTCAGATGCCGCATTCCCTTAAAACACACAGAAGAAATACGTTTAAAAAAACAACTGCTAAATAGACCCTAGTTTAAAATGTTGATCTTTAGAAGTCATGCATGTTTGTATTTGCTCATCCCTTACAGTTATACCAACAAAATAACTTCAAGCTTATGTTAAAAAACATTTGGGTTATTATCGTTGCGTTTACACAGGCAGCCCAATTCTGATCTTTTGCACCCTTATTGGCAAAAGAGCTGATCTGGTTGGCCAAAATACCAATTAGTGTAAAAAGATCAGAATTGGGCTGCCTGTGTAAATATAGCCTATGTTATGTCTAGAAATTGACTCTTATCCATTAGCCCAATTTCGTTGTGGGTGTGTGCATAGTTTTCTTTTATGCACTATTGTCTATTTGTTTACATCTGATAAAAGTGTTCAACCTTTTGGCCTCGTTGAATGTATTGTGTATGTGTACAGCGCATTGTCATGCAAATGACCAATACACAATAGCGCATTTGTGTCTATCTAAACCAGCACCAAAATGTGTCCTGTCACTAAATTCTCAAGGTTAACAACATGATACCATTACGAGTGAGTTTTATGCTCAAGGTTTTCGCTACAGCAATTAGGCATCAGTAAAATATCTACTACCTAAATGAAGGCCGTGTCCAGAGGCTTTGAAGTGGATGGGTTTTGCACCTCGCTACCCCACGCTCCGCTCCAGATCTCCGCTTAATGGTCTGGACTGGGGAGAGAGCAGCTGTCTCCGTCCGCTTTTGTTCGAGAACCCGCAGAGGGACCAGGCGCCCCTCTCCATCTCCTCTCTTCTCTCCCCTCTCTGCCACCACCCGGCGGCTTCATTAGGTCTGTGGCCAATTATTATGGGTTTATAGTCCGGAGGAGAGGGGACCATGTATTACAGCAACGTTTTCACATTTCGAATTCAATAAGTTATTTAAAATGCCTATGGATAAGGTTAATTTCTCAGGGAAAATTTTTTAATTCACTATTGTAAACAAATAACGGTTTGCCTATACTGTAGTTGAAAATAATTATAAACGTGTTTCCTTCTACTACAAGTCCAGTAGGCCCTACACAAATATTACCAGTGATTAACCAACGTTATATCTCCTGTCATCTAATCACTTGTTGATGTCTCCATGGCTGCGTTTACAGTTTTTTCTGAATGCTTAAGCGCTAATCGTGATTCTTGTAGCACAATTTCTAAAACTATTAATACGTATAGCAAAACCACTCACTGAGTTTGCAAAACTAAAAGCACAAACACTGCTTTGCACTCAGTTTACAATTTTGTAACACACACTTTGCAAAACTGTAGGCACAATTCACTGCACAACACTCTTTTTGCAGAACTTTAAACACAACTCACTGCTTACACTCAATTACCAAATTTCCAACACACTCCTAGCAAAATTATACACATGTATGGCTATCATTAACACTATTTTGCCAACTGTCTGGCACACTTGCACATGTGAAAACTGTTGTAGATAATTAGTTCACTTTGCAATCAGCCTAAGCACTATAAATAAGCCACAGGTAAGCTGTCTGTGTGGAGTACAATGGAAGGAGCAGTAAGAGGGAGAAGGGTGAGAATCAGAGGAGGCCGAGGAGGCCGAGGGAGAGGACGTGGAGTTGAAGAAGTTGGAGGAAGAGGACGTGGAGTTGAAGAAGCGAGAGGGTTAGAGGAAGTTAGAGGAAGAGGACAAGGAGGAGCAAGAAGAGGACGAGGAGGGGAAAGAGGAAGGGTAAGAATAGTAAGAAATAGAATAACTGATGACATCAGAGCTACAATAGTGGACCATGTCATCAACCATGGGATGACCCTGAGGGAAGCTGGCCAACGGGTTCAGATTAATTTGAGCCGCTACACTGTGGCAAGCATCATTAGGACATTTCGAATTGAGAATCGGTAACTACTTTGTAGCACTGCCATACTCTAATGAGAAACACAACAGTACCATACATGCAAAAATACTGAAATTGTTACTTTACAGAATTGCTAGACGTCCAGATGTTGGGGGCAGTGGAAGAATGTTCACTCCAGAGCAAGAGACCCATATAGTGAACATGGTGATTGCCAATAATGCAATAAGTCTGCGCGAAATACAGCAGCGCATAATTGATAATGACACCATCTTTCAAAATATACACAGTGTAAGTATTTCTGCACTAAGTCGTGTACTTGCGCGCCACAGAATAAGAATGAAGCAAATTTACAGAGTTCCTTTCGAGAGAAACACAGAACGTGTAAAGCAACTGCGATATGACTATGTGCAGGTAAGCTATAGTGTCATTGGTTCTGAATTTGGAAGTGCATACTGTAGTGCTGTGCATGGGCCTGATGTGTTGCATTTGTTTTGTCTTGTCCAGAGAGTGATGGAACTAGAAGCAGATGCCATGGGACATGAGCTACTTTTTGTAGATGAGGCCGGTTTTAACCTCAGTAAAACCAGGAGACGTGGCAGGAACATTATTGGACACCGTGCCATCATCAATGTCCCAGGACAACGTGGTGGTAACATAACCATGTGTGCAGCTATAAGCCAAAATGGTGTTGTTCACCATCATGCAACCTTAGGCCCATACAACACTGCACACATTATTGCATTCCTGGACACCTTACATGACATGCTCACTGTTCAGAGACCAGAGCATACCCGATATGTCATCATATGGGACAATGTTAGTTTCCATAGGGCTGCTTTGGTCCGCAACTGGTTTACAGACCACCCATTCTTCATGGCACTCAACCTCCCTCCATACTCTCCATTCTTAAATCCCATCGAGGAGTTCTTCTCTGCCTGGCGCTGGAAAGTGTACGACCGTCCTCCTCATCAACAGGTAGCCCTTTAACAGGCAATGGAGGAGGCATGTGGAGATATTGACCAGGCATCATGTCAGGCCTGGATACGGCATTCAAGGAGATATTTTCCCCGGTGCCTTGGACTGGAGGATATCGCATACGATGTGGACGAAATTTTGTGGCCGGACCCAGAAAGACGACATGATGTAGGCTGATTGTTTTTCTTTTTTTTGTGAAATTACTATTTTGTGTTCTGACTTTGTCTTGGTTTTGATGAGTGTGAATAAACACCAATACTTGAAGTTTGGATCCTTGTATGTTTACATGACACTATGACAAAAGTATGACCTCAAATTGACATCTGTACACAGAGAAAGCAAAAGCCAGATGTGTTTTGTATTCATACCATCAGTGTGTAGTTGGCACATTGTGTGCTTAGTAGATGATGGCTTGTGTTTACTGTTTGATACGAAAACACCATTTTTAAGAAGGTGTGAAGAGTTAATCTAGCTGTGTTCGCTTTTGCAAGAGAACTACAATGTTTTGATAATTGGGTGAAAGGTTTTCTTATTTGTGTGTAGAGTTTTGCAAAAATAGCCAATAGTTACAAAAAAATGTGCTTAACCAATCAGAAAAAACTGTAAACAGGCAGCCCAATTCGGATCTTTTTCACTAATTGGTTTTTTGACCAATCAGATCAGCGCTGAAAAAGATCTGATGTGAAAAGATCTGATGTGATTGTTCAAAAGACCAATTAGTGGAAAAAATATCAGAATTGGAGAGCTGTCAGAACAGCTTCAATGCGCCTTGGCATAGATTCTACAAGTGTCTGGAACTCTTTTGGAGGGATATGACACCATTATTCAGTGATAAATTCCACAATTTTGTGTTTTGTTGATGGTGGTGGAAAACACTTTCTCGGGTGCTGATCCAGAATCTCTCATAAGTGTTCAAGTGGGTTGAGATTTGAGACCCCTCTTTCAAAGTCACTGAGATCTCTTCAAGCCATGGTAGCCAAAATAATAGGCAACTGGACATTTTTATACATGACCCTAAGCATGATGGCATGTCAATTGCTTAATTAACTCAGGAACCACACCTGTGTGGAAGCACCTGCTTTCAATATACTTAGTATTCCTCATTTACTCAAGGGTTTCCTTTATTTGGGCAGTTACCTGTCTCTTGATGGCCTGTCCAACTAGACCAGGTAATTTCTTTAATGTTAGCCTACTAAAACCATTTGCTTATATTCATTCACATTGCAAGCAAGAGTATAATATATGAAATACAATGAACGTTTTTAACAATTTATAAATGTACAATAATACTGTAGTAGCTGTAGGACTCAGCATCATTGATATATCTTTTAACATGGGTTAATCTCATGATGTTATAGGATCAAAACGTCTCTCTATATAAGAGAGAAAGTGTGTGTGTGTGTGTGTGTGTGCGCGCACAAGTGTGTATAAAGAAAATTGATAACATCTACAGAAATTACATACACATTTTTATTAATATTGGTTAATAATATACTACAAAGAAGGGAGCAGTTCAAAAGCTATTTGTGACAAGAGCTAAGAAGCTAAATGTTTTATCTTATTATTCAATAAATAAAGACGTTAATACAATAAATACAAGAAAAATATTAATAAGAGCCTTCTACAATGCAGGCTACGGAAAGTAGACTTCGGAGAGGAAGTACTGAAAGGTCTGTTTATATACCACACCTAGATCAGGAACACAACCGCCCCACAATCCAACACAATGTCTTCTGAGTAGCATATCTATAAGATACATAACAGAGGAGGGTCTAACATAGAGATCAAGCACACACCCAGAGGGCCGGTACAGTTTACCACGGCCTCCACATCTCCAGCATGCTCAGGTGGGGGCTGAGAAGGTGGGGGCTCCCGGGCAGGAGCAGGGGCTTTTCCTGGGGCCCCACCACATGGCACAGGGGCCCCTCCCTCTGGCCCTGCCTCCCAGACCTGGGGTCCCCTCTGAGGGGTGTAGTGGGGGCTCCTGGCCCCTGGCTGGGTGGGGGGGCGTTGGGCCTGAGGTTGGGGTTGGCCTGAGAGGGGTGCTCAATGCTGGAGCGGGGCAGGGATTTGAGCAGGTGGTTGAGCAGGCGGGAGCCCAGCGTTTTGTCCATCCACTCACAGTTGAGCAGCATGTTGTGTACTTCGTGCATGCACTGGATGTAGCCCGTGCTGTACTTCTGCTGTGCCTCCAAGCCAAAGGTGGGGTCTGCTGTGGAGGGAAGGAGACACTGGGTCAAACATGGGTCATAGCGCAATCTGTTGGTGGCAGGATGTATTGCACCCAGACTGGCCTATTCCCCCAAATAAATTAGTATAATGCATTGCAGTGTTTCTTAATCCTGAAAGGGGTGCATATTTTAGTTTTTGCCTTAACACTACACACCTGATTCCAGTAATCAAAGGTTTAAATGATGAGTTGATTAGTGGAATCATGTGTGTAGTGCTGGGGCAAAAACTAAAATGTGCACCCCTTTGAGTGCCCAGGACAAGGATTAAGAAACACTTGACTAATCAATTGTTTTAAATTGAAACCAAGAGAGAATATGGAGAAATAACCCAATTAAATAGTACAACTATATGAGTACTAATACTCACAAATGATGATTCTTATTAGACAACATAAGACTGTTATTTAATCACTGATGAAAATACTCCCACCAATCTCCATAACAATATGTCTAACTTTCCAATGTGCCGACACCGCCCCCAGCTGCGTACATAGAGTATTACATGCAGGCACAACTAAAAACTATTCTGGCACTTGTATCTTCAGTCAAGTCACTTTATTCGACACTTACCACTGGATTTATGAGTCTGAACATTCTGCAGGTGTTTCACTGTCATCTCTAGAATGTCCGCCTTTTCAAGTTTCGATTGCTGTGGGGGGAAATGGAAAGTTAGTGTCAAGAAATAACTTACATTGTGTCTTTCACACTCCATATAATTGAGCATTTATAACAATTAAAATACAGTGTGCATATATATAGGCCTACTCACATCAAGACTGAACGCCCCGACCACAGTTTCTTTCAGCTGATCCAAGCAGTTATTAATCCTCTCTCGTCTTTTCCTCTCAATGAGCGGCTTCCGCAGCTAGAGATGGAAAGTGATGGGTTAATGGCGACCAGATACAGACACAAACTGGACCAGATTTTCACTAAGCGTGAGCAAATCCGAAGAAAGACACATGTTGATGTTTAGGTTTATCTATCCACGGGGACAAAGGCAATACCTTTCTCTCCTCCTTGGCACTTGAGTGTCTCCCCAAGTTGTGCGCCATGGCGCTGGTTGTCATCTCTCCTTTACGCTCGGTATAGTTGTATATAGAGTATAGCTCTCCTCTCCCGGCTGAGTCTAGGATCTGTCTGTAAGGCCCTCCGCGCGGCGCACCCCTCTTATTTACAGGGAAGAATTAGCATGTGAATGCTCGAGCTCTTTGGCTGAGGTATTTTCCCACACACGGTGTCGCTCCCATCAGTCAGGGATGACAGGTCACTGCCTCTTTTCGGATGACAGGTCACTGCCTCTTTTCAATAGCCGAGGTACCAGCCCTGGAAAAAAACACAAGCGACAGATGTCCAGCCTGAAACCATGCACCCCCCCCCCCCCCCCCCCCACCCGCCCCTTTCTCTCTCTGTGTGTCTCTCCCTCTCGTGAAGCGCAAAGCGCACGGGTCCCCTCAGGATTGTCATTCCCAGGGCCGAACAAGAGTGTGTAATTACCGTGGTTACACCAGGGACCCCCTCGGCCATTCATGCCAATGAACTGGGAAAGCATTAGGCCTACCCGAGAAAAGGCGAAATCTATCCCCTGAAGTCTTACACAGAAAATATACCTACAACGCCCAGTGGCCCTATGGTCATTGTTATCAGTCTGTATCTTGTCGATACTAACAAGTGCTCAGGGAAGTGTTGATGAGGAGAAACTTTAGTGACTAAATCCTGAGTGAAGAGTAGGCCTGAACTAATTGCTCTGAGAAATGACGCCACAAGCCTATAACGAAAAGATTTTAATTTAATGTAGCCCATATGTTTTTCCTTTGATATAGCCTAAATTATGTTCGCGCAATGGCAAGGGATATATATTGTATGTTCATGACTAGAAAACCTATTGGCAATTACACTCAAAGTTAATATAATATATATATAATATGCCATTTAGCAGACGCTTTTATCCAACGCGACTTACAGTCATGCGTGCATACATTTTTTTGTGTATGGGTGGTCCCGGGGATCGAACCCACTACCTTGGCGTTACAAGCGCCGTGCTCTACCAGCTGAGCTACAGAGGACCACATGAATTTTTTCAACTCTGCACTGGTTTAGCAATTCAGTAGGTCTAGGCTACTCAACGAATTTTCAACAGGTGGTCAGGTTTCAATCGAATTAATTGATTAAAATTCAGTACATCGATTGAAAGTGCTTTTTTTCATGTTCTGAATTTCGTTTGATTTTTGGGGATATGGGTGGGGGTAAATAGGCCTAATTCCACATGTATTCCGATGCTCTTCGGGTTGTCTAATATCGACAAGGACAAATTACTTCAATATCCTTTCGGATATTGATCATGGTTTATTATGAATCAATAGACCAATCTTTTTTTTTTTTATGTACAACTTTGATTAGCCTAAGCCAGATGGAGGAAGCGTTGGAAAACTAAGCTAAACATATGTTGTCAACTTTTTCTAACTCACTGAGTCAGGGAGAGCAGATGTCAGACTGACCACGCAGACAGATGTCACACCCGCGCGCTGGCCCTTGGCTTAAGGGATTCATGGCGGGGCTCTGTGTTTGACTTGAGCCATGCACGCGACTGCCAGGCGAATGCTCGAACGTGGGAAACTCCGCCGAACAATGGGCGGTATTCAGCCGAACCTAATCACCACGAAGAGAGTAATAACCCTGTGGAGGGAGAAGTGGATAGTCCAGCCCGGGAGAAGGCTCTCTCTCAGCGGGCCCCGGAGCAGGAGGTGACTAATGGGAAGTTAGGGCAGGTGCGCTCTGTCCTCTGGTTTTCAGGCAGGTGTGTGACCATCACAATAAAGCGTCAGTATGAGCAATAGCCTATGTGTGGTCCTTGACCACTTTTATTGATTATTCATGAGATACATTTTGAGATTACATTGTTATGTATGAGAATAACATATGGGCCTATTTGTGAATGCAACAGGTATTAGTGTTCATAGGATAACACTTGTTGAATTCGCAAACATGAATCAGTGTAGCCTAATGTGGTCAATTCGAATTGAAGGCAGTCAATTCAATAAGTAATTTGAATTTATAATATAAACCATTTATACCTTTTGAAAATAAATAGCTTCTACTTTTAAGTTTATTGAGAAGTGATTGAAAATAAATAAAACATGTTCAATAATTGAATTGGAATTTCAGTTTACTTCCTGATGCCTGAATCGATTGCCATTCATTCGAATTGACCCCAACTCTGAATGGTAGCCTATTAACAATACATGAGATGTCCAAACAGGTTACCTTATTTTTGCATAGGCTATGGATTATTTTGTTGTTTTTTATTGGATGGATTACTGTAGGATTGGATGGATTACTAAAAGGAGTGTGATCCTCAGATCCTTAATAATTAACGAACCTTCAGTAGGCAGTTGGCACCGACAGGCGACAAGTGTGCATCAGCGAGGCTTTGAATGAGTGGACCGATTTGAGTACATTTTCTAAACCACATATAAATCCAGACTATAGGCCTATAGTCACAATGGGTGGCCTTCTGAAGAGGCTGTGGCTGATGAATACACTGAGTGGTGAGGTCTCTTTTGAAACTCAAGAAAACTTGGGCGATTTTTGGGGAGGCCTATGACCATACAAAGCGCAATGGGACATCTGGCCACGCGACCCACGTGCAGTCAGCCGCCTGTCGCTCACCACAAGGAAACGACCTTCAGAGGGTCACACATAAAGACTCCACAGTCGCGGCGCATGCTTCCTCTTCCAGAGAGCACCGACGTATCACCAAAAACAAAACGTGTTACATTCACAGGACTATATAGCCTAACAAGGCAATTCGATTTTCGTGGATCACATTTTTATATAGGCCTACCTAATTGATCACATTTTCACATAGCCTATCCTAACCTACATTATCCTATTCAATGTTGGAGTGTCAATTTCGATTTGTGACATTTTTGTGGAGGCTCTATAATAGGGACTTATAGAAAGTTCCATCTTGTTATGGGTGGTGGCACAGAACGGCCCAAAAATCAACTAATCCGGCAAAATCGTTAAGGCAGCAAGGGGGAGAAACCATCAGAGAGCCCGAATTAAAAGGCCAACTTGTGAAGAGGCGCTCGCGCCCTTTCACGCCCTTTCGCCCTTACCATCTGGTCACGCGTCCCAGTGATCAGAATTAGCGTGGGAATGACAATGCCACAATAGTTCCCATTCTCAGACGCCCTAAGCGGCGCAGTGGCCCACTCATCTTGGCTGCTTAATTATGAGGAACACAATCATTCCTGTTGGGCCAGTGTGCCTGAGGTCTACATCCGCTTTTTTAGGTGACTTATTCCGGATCTAGAGGCATATACTGTATATGAGGCACTTCACGCTTGCAACATCACATTCTGTGAAATGCGCATTGGAAATGCATAGAGAGGGACACTGACTGCCACACCAGCGACATTTTGCTTATTTTTTTAAGTATAGTATTAGACTTTAATACTGGCCAAATTGGTCTCCATCCCTCCATCCATCCTTCCAATGAAATTATCTATTTTCCACATTTATTTATATCGCTCTATTTTCTCGAACACCTGCATATCTATTAATTGAACAAAAACAATATATCCTTCTAAAAGTAAATATACCTCTTCATGATGTGAGACATTTTTAAACTTTAGTGGTGTACTATTATGCTGTTATTACACTGTTATTTTTAGGTAATATGGGGTATTATCAACAGTAAAATACTGTGAAACCTTTTACTGCATCATACTTTAAATTATGGTGCAGTGTGTGAAAATGTTGTAGGCTGGGAAATAATTGTTGTATTTCGAAGGCTACTGAAATTCCATCACACAGGATATACAGTATTTTTGGAGTGCCAAAAACCTTCGGCCCTCTAGTGGGTGCATGGTAGGCTGGCTCATTAACATATTTCGAGGCGTGCCTTGTAAGAGGCTATAATTTGTTGCACCGGTTGGCGAGAGTGCTGTAGGCCTACCAATTTAAATGCTATGTGGTAGTAGTGCCCCATCACTTTAAAATGTATAGGGGACAGATTGGAGTGGCAGCAAGCCTTAAACTTTTAATGATTGAGCATTTTGCCATGTTCTTTTGGTCTGTTTTAACCTGTAGTCGCTGCCAGTTTGGAAGCCTTTGTTAAAGCCTCTTAGAAGTGAAACACCAAATATTCATTGATATGCTGTAATGTGTAAACGCATTACCTGGCTGCCGACCTGCATGCACCAATCCCATGTAATTACAGTAAAAAAGTGTGACTTACAAACCCCAAATTCCCTCCATGAATTTCATTCATCCATCCAGCCAGCCATCCATTCATTCATTAAGATTGCGGTAGGATGCACTTTTTTCTATTCTACGGTATTGTACTGTGTGTCATTACACAGTACTTGCTTTTATACTGTATTTGGATTTCAGTAGGTGTACTGGAATATGAAATACAGTAACTTAGGCTACTTGCCACTTTGCTGCATGTAGTTACTGTCAAATTCACGGCAACCTCTTTACAGTGTTGCTGTCTGTAGTTCTTCAACTTTTTAAGATGGCAGGGGTATTGGGATCTTGTTTTCCCCAACATGATCCTGTCACATTTTATTTACCCAATGTGCAACGATTGGCGACTACACTTGTTTTCCATAGGCCTAACAATGAAATATGATGAAATGTCCAAGTGAAAATAACGTTGTGTGGGCAGTATCACATTTGCACTGAAACCTTGCAAGTTTGATCAAGTGAATTAGCCTAATTGTTGCAATATTCCCAGCAAAATCCCAAGATTTGGTGCAGTCGGTGTATAGGCCTAAACCTGCTTCAGTAGCCTAAATTATATGCTGAAACTTTAGACTATTTTGCAAAATATGGTTTTACAGACAGCCCTTGTTTTAACGGAATAATAATGGGCTAAACCAGTTATAATTTAGTCTAATAATTGGTCTTAATTGATAGGCTAGCCTAACCTTGGCATATTTGCCTGAATTTGTAACAAATGTATGCTAGATACTTTACAGACATTTTCTTGTTGGTCCCATATGTTTTAAGGGACTAGGTATTTTCAATCGGTGCTTGAAATCGCGGACCCCTTGGCGCGCAGCCCAAGGCACGACCTGACTGCATTACCGTCCCAGTTATTCATTGTGCTGTTTTCTGCATTGAACCCCCAAATATATTTATTTCCCGTACCTATTGTATGTGGTATCTTTTTTATTGATTCCATAAATACACATTGCAATTGTAAATAGAATACAAATTAATTTCTGTTGTAATGTATAGGCCAGTCTAGAACAGCCCTGACCCAGTAAACTTGAACTAATTGGTCCATTAGCCTATCAGAGTCAGCTGTCCATTATTTAGAAAATGCACATTGAAATGTGATACATTGTTGCATGTTGCTACAATGTTTTCACTCTGTGTAGAGGGGTCTATATTGGTCAAAACTCAACCATGTGATGACACTGCACCTGTGCATAATAAATACATTATTTAAGAGCGTCATAATAACAAGTAGAACATTACAAGAGTTCCAGAACACTACATTCTAGGTTACTTTCTTGATTTGTGATTGCAGGAGAGAGGGTACATTTTAAAGCAAGGCATGTGAATGTATTATTTGTTGCCAAATTTGAGTTTAATAGCTCACAATATTTAAGTAGGTTGTTTATTTTTTTCATGACCAAATGTCTTCTGTCTGTTGTGAATGTAATTTTGGGCCTAATGAAATTGAATAGGCCTTCTTCTTCCCTCCAGTGATGCCGACAGACGCTAGTGAGGAAGGGCACCACCGTAAGCCAGTGCGCAGGCCCCGTCTTTCCTATATGGTAATTAAGAGCAATATATCGTCCCATATAGGCCTAAAACTACAGGTTAACTACAGGATCGACTTCAAAATCCTCATGCTTGCATTTAAAAACATGAATGGATTAAGCCGCACATACATCAGTGACCTCATCTCAATCAGCGAGCCACCATGCACTCTCCGCTCTAGGCACTCCCTACTGCTTCAAGTCCGTAAGACACGTCTCCGAACTAAGCGGGACCGAGCCTTCTGCTTGCTCCCTTGCCCCTCGCCTATGGAATGCTCTCCCTGACCATCTGAGAGCCGCTACATCACTCGAAACTTTTAAAACTGGCTGCAAAACCCACTTCTACAGACTGTATTTTTCATAGTCCTGGTCCCATTCTAAAATGTATTTAGCACCTAGCCCACTATTGGTATTTTACCTGCCTTGATTCGAAATGTACTGTATGTTTTTTTTTATTGTATATATATATATATATATATATTAAATGTTTTCCTCAGTAGAGCTTTGAGATAACTCTGTAATGAAAAGCGCTATAGAAATTAAATGTAGCCTATTATTATTATAATTGATCTACACATGGATTCCCTTATTGCTCTATCAGGTAAGTGGACCTATGCTATGGCTTAAAAAACAAAAAAATAGCATACAACTGCTAGATAAATGGATTTGAGTGTAATGTGCTCCTGTCATTGTGCTCCCAGTTAGGTCGTGTGGTCAGGAACCCAGACTTTGAACCCAGACAGAGTGTGTCCAGAAACAGGAACAGGAATAGGAGACCTCAGGTGAGTATGACATCAACAGGTGTTCTGCAGCCCATCCCTGAGAACCGAGACCCAGTGGAACAGAGCCCGAGACCACCATCACCTGAGAGGGCCTTCATCAACCTGCAGCCACACACACAGGTAGGACTCTAGTCCTGCAGCATTACATACTAGTTTATGTGTGTGTGTGTGTGTTTCACTGTGTTCGTCAACTATAATGTGGCTATAACTAGTCTCCTGAGTGGCGCAGTGGTCTAAGGCACTGCATCGCAGTGCTAGCTGTGCCACTAGAGATCCTGGTTCGAATCCAGGCTCTGTCGTAGCTGACCGGGAGACCCATGGGGTGTGGCACAATTGGCACAGCGTTGTGTAGGGGAGGGAATGGCTGGCAGGGGATGTAGAGCATGGCGTTTGCAATGCCAGGGTTGTGGGTTCGATTCCCACAGTGGGTATGAAAAAGACAAATAAATAAAATAATGTATTCACTAACTGTGAGTCGCTCTGGATAAGAGCGTCTACTAAAATGTAAAATAACTATTTGCATAATACCATAGGAATGTGTATGATTGAGTCTTTCTTTATTCTTATGTTATATCTGAAAAATCTCAAATGCTCTCTCTCGATTAGCTTGACCAACAAGGAGCGTTATCCCACTCTGAAGAGATGAGAGAGAAAACCAACCCACTCTCTGGGATCCATGACCTGGTAAGTGACCTGTGTTTTCACTGTAACTTTTTGTCTTAGAAGTGACGTAGAACAGGGGTAGACAACCAAATTAAGCCGCAGGCTGATTTTGGTCGGAGAAGATGGTCGGGGGTCCTCAACATAATTATAATATAATTTGTACACTGCAAACTGACCACAACTAAACCCAACAAGCGATTGTATTTGAAAATAACAGTAATTTCATACTTTGATTACATTGAGACACGATCAAGTCTCTTATTTTATTCGTGGGAATACTTGGGAACAAATTCCCTGAATTAAACTCATTTTTAGCTGAATTCCTGATGATTTTACACCATTTTTTAGCAAAAACTAAACTACCTGTTGCCGACCCCTGTCGTAGAAGGAGTCAAAGATGAACACAGGTTGTGTGTGTGAATGTGTGTGTGTGTGTGTGTGAATGATGCAGACAGTCCTCCTGTGTGAGGAGAAGGAGAAAGAGAAGGCCCTGTTTGTTAAAGCCAGAGAGAGGACCATGAGATACTTGAAAGAGGATCTGGCTTACTACCATGAGAAGGTCACCAAAGACCTGGCATCCCTAGGCCAGACCCTGGACAGAGCTCTGGTGCTGAATCAGAGCGAAGAGGAAGCTAAGCTGGAGGAGAGGATTGATTTTGAAAGGATGGTTAGGAGGTTTGGGAAGGGTGAGAGATTGATGAGGCCAGTGCTAGAGGTTGCAGGAAGAATAGACAGACAAATATCAAGACACCCGAATGTAAAGATGGTAATGAATGGGAGAAGAGCCGGCCAACTAGTGAAGGTGGCAGAAGAGGAAGAGAGTAAAAGAGGTCAAAGAGCGAAGCCAGTGAAAATTGACAAGGAGTTAGGTCCTGTGGTCAGGAACCCAGACTCTGAACCCAGACAGAGTGTGTCCAGAAACAGGAACAGGAATAGGAGACCTCAGGTGAGTATGACATCAACAGGTGTTCTGCAGCCCATCCCTGAGAACCGAGACCCAGTGGAACAGAGCCCGAGACCACCATCACCTGAGAGGGCCTTCATCAACCTGCAGCCACACACACAGGTAGGACTCTAGTCCTGCAGCATTACATACTAGTTTATGTGTGTGTGTGTGTGTGTTTCACTGTGTTCGTCAACTATAATGTGGCTATAACTAGTCTCCTGAGTGGCGCAGTGGTCTAAGGCACTGCATCGCAGTGCTAGCTGTGCCACTAGAGATCCTGGTTCGAATCCAGGCTCTGTCGTAGCTGACCGGGAGACCCATGGGGCGGCGCACAATTGGCACAGCGTCGTGTAGGGGAGGGAATGCTTGCAGGGGATGTAGCTCAGTTTGTAGAGCATGGCGTTTGCAATGCCAGGGTTGTGGGTTTAATTCCCACGGGGGGTATGAAAAAGACAAATAAATAAAATAAAAAATAATGAATGCACTAACTGTAAGTCGCTCTGGATAAGAGCGTCTACTAAAATGTAAAATAACTATTTGTATAATACCATAGGAATGTGTATGATTGAGTCTTATGTTATATCTGAAAAATCTCAAATGCTCTCTCTCGATTAGCTTGACCAACAAGGAGCGTTATCCCACTCTGAAGAGATGAGAGAGAAAACCAACCCACTCTCTGGGATCCGTGACCTGTGTTTTCACTGTAACTTTTTGTCTTAGAAGTGACGTAGAACAGGGGTAGACAACCAAATTAAGCCGCAGGCTGATTTTGGTCGGAGAAGATGGTCGGGGGTCCTCAACATAATTATAATAATTTGTACACTGCAAACTGACCACAACTAAACCCAACAAGCGATTGTATTTGAAAATAACAGTAATTTCATACTTTGATTACATTGAGACACGATCAAGTCTCTTATTTTATTCGTGGGAATACTTGGGAACAAATTCCCTGAATTAAACTCATTTTTAGCTGAATTCCTGATGATGGTCCTCTGTAGCTCAGCTGGTAGAGCACGGCGCTTGTAACGCCAAGGTAGTGGGTTCGATCCCCGGGACCACCCATACACAAAAAAAAATTATGCACGCATGACTGTAAGTCGCTTTGGATAAAAGCGTCTGCTAAATGGCATATTATTATTATTATTTTACGTTTGAGAAACATGGATGAACGTCTAATTCTGACATGAGTGTGAGAGCTCGTAGGTTTAGCCACACGATCTAACCCTGCACCTCTGTCTCTCATGCAGAATGACTTCGCTACTCTTGAGTCAGTGGTAGGTTGTTTACTGGATTCATTCAGTATTTCTACAGACATATATTCATTACTGATTAATTACTGCAGCTACAATATTCTCCCAGTATATAAGACTTGTTCGGTTTCGATACACGTATTCCCACTGGGCACACACTGGTTGAATCAACGTTGTTTCCATGTCATTTCAATGAAATCACGTTGAACCAACGTGGAATAGTTGTTGAATTGACGTCTGTGCCCAGTGGGCTGTATCTTTTCACTGTGATCTTGTGATTAATCATGTTAACTAATCTTGTACCGCTAATCTTCCCATCAAGAGTCAGAACTACAGGTCATCTACTCCAGTGACTATGACCTCCTTGACCTCTGTCTCTTTGACCACTGCTCCACTGACCGCTTCTCCACTGACCGCTACCCTCCAGACCACTGCCACTCCCCCCCCTCTTCCTCCCTGTTCGCATCCCTCCCTCTAACCTCCAGACCACCGCCGCTCCACCCCTCCCTCGCCCCCACCGCCTGCCCCCACTGAAGGTTCCACCGCCGACCCTGGCATGGCCACAGACCACCCATCTACCACCCATCTCCACCCAGACTGAGGGAGGACAGACAGGCAACACTGACAGGACTGGAACACCTGTACTGGTAAGAAGACTGATAAGAACCAGGCTCCCTCTCTCTCTTTCAGTCAGATCCACACACATGGTGTCACATAGAGGAAAGCTAGTGTAGATCTGTAAGATTATAGCTGTGCTGGAAAGATGTTTAAATGTTGTATTATGTTTCTCAGACTCTGGACACTAATGGAGATCAGACAGGAGAAACCAATGAGATTGATTATGATGAGGTAGAGGAGATTAGCATCCTGCCTGATGAGGAAAGGTTCCAAGTAAAGCAAGTGGAGAAGGAAGAAGTGAAGGAGAAGAAGGAACAGGAGAATGAGACAGGGGGGGCGAAGAAATGTCGCAAGACCATCAAGAAGAGGTGAGTTTTAAGTAGACAGAAGATAATTAAATAGTGGAGGGAGGGAAAAGCTAGCAGACAGATGGACACATAAAAGGAGATAGTAAAGGACCATGAGTCACAATTTTGAAGTGTTGCAGTAGTGTCCATATTGTTCCATTCTTGTCAGTGGTTACTACCTCCCTCGCAGGTTTATCAGATGGCTGAGGATGATGTGCTGCTGTGGAGGCTGCTTTCAGAAATGCTGAACTGAAATCTTCATCACACCACAGCCAGAGATCCCTTAAACACACACACACACACACACACACACACACAGATGTGCGCCCACAAACATACACACACACCAGGGATTTACATTTTCTTTCATCCTATTTTTCAATAAACATAAAATCCCATCCTGATGTTTGTTTTGTTTAGATTGGCAGGTCTTGACAAAAAATGAATATTTTGTCCAGGGTTGGTTTTGGGAAGGCTCCAAAGCTAATAGAATACAGTAGTCCTATTCATTCATTACAACTTTTTAAGGTTTAGCCTCTTTACTCTGGGAAACCTGTACACATTAGTCTCCCGGAACCAAGAGGCTTTATAAGGTTGTGCCTCACGGGGGAAGGCAATAACTTTTTGTTTAGGGTGTGTGGATTCACCTTAGCCCTCTTTAGGTGTGTGTGGATTCCAATGATTTATATATACACCACAGGAGGTTGGTGGCACCTTAATTGTAAAGGACGGGCTTGTGGTAATGGCTGGAGCGGTATGGTATCAAACGCATCAAACACATGGTTTCCATGTACTTGATGCCATTCCATTTGCTCTGTTCTGGCCATTATTATGAGCCGTCCTCCCCTCAGCAGCCTCCTGTGATATACACATATATTTATATACATCATTGATGAATTCATTCATGCACTCTTTTCCTGGTGCACGAGCGCCTCCCTGTGGACACTCGCGAGCCCCATGTGCAGATGCTATAGCGTTATACAACCAGCGGGGGGCGGTAGACCTCGATGCCCAACCACATTGCTAACCAGTCGCACTCGTACACATTAAAGGACTAGGAAACTTAGCTAGCCATACAACATTTCAAACAAGGGGAGGCGACAAATAAGGAAAACAAAGGAGTTTCTAATCCAACCGGACATAGCTACAATGCCGTTAGCTGTTCAAACACATCGGTGGAGAGTGAAAAGTTCGAGTTTGTAAGGTTTGATATTGTATTTGTGATTTTGATTTGTGACATTTTTCTGGAGGCTCTATAATGGGGACTTATAGAAAGTTCCATCTTGTTATGGGTGGTGGCACAGAACGGCCCAAAAATCAACTAATCCGGCAAAATCGTTAAGGCAGCAAGGGGGAGAAACCACCAGAGAGCCCGAATTAAAAGGCCAACTTGTGAAGAGGCGCTCGCGCCCTTTCACGCCCTTTCGCCCTTACCATCTGGTCACGCGTCCCAGTGATCAGAATTAGCGTGGGAATGACAATGCCACAATAGTTCCCATTCTCAGACGCCCTAAGCGGCGCAGTGGCCCACTCATCTTGGCTGCTTAATTATGAGGAACACAATCATTCCTGTTGGGCCAGTGTGCCTGAGGTCTACATCCGCTTTTTTAGGTGACTTATTCCGGATCTAGAGGCATATACTGTATATGAGGCACTTCACACTTGCAACATCACATTTTGTGAAATGCGCATTGGAAATGCATAGAGAGGGACACTGACTGCCACACCAGCGACATTTTGCTTATTTTTTTAAGTATAGTATTAGACTTTAATACTGGCCAAATTGGTCTCCATCCCTCCATCCATCCTTCCAATGAAATTATCTATTTTCCCTATTTATTTATATCGCTCTATTTTCTCCAACACCTGCATATCTATTAATTGAACAAAAACAATATATCCTTCTAAAAGCGGGGCGCACATCTGTGTGTGTGTTTAAGGGATCTCTGGCTGTGGTGTGATGAAGATTTCAGTTCAGCATTTCTGAAAGCAGCCTCCACAGCAGCACATCTTCCTCAGCCATCTGATAAACCTGCGAGGGAGGTAGTAACCAATGACAAGAATGGAACAATATGGACACTACTGCAACACTTCAAAATTGTGACTCATGGTCCTTTACTATCTCCTTTTATGTGTCCATCTGTCTGCTAGCTTTTCCCTCTCTCCACTATTTAATTATCTTCTGTCTACTTAAAACTCACCTCTTCTTGATGGTCTTGCGACATTTCTTGGCCCCCCCTGTCTCATTCTCCTGTTCCTTCTTCTCCTTCACTTCTTCCTTCTCCACTTGCTTTACTTGGAACCTTTCCTCATCAGGCAGGATGCTAATCTCCTCTACCTCATCATAATCAATCTCATTGGTTTCTCTTGTCTGATCTCCATTAGTGTCCAGAGTCTGAGAAACATAATACAACATTTAAACATCTTTCCAGCACAGCTATAATCTTACAGATCTACACTAGCTTTCCTCTATGTGGCACCATGTGTGTGGATCTGACTGAAAGAGAGAGAGGGAGCCTGGTTCTTATCAGTCTTCTTACCAGTACAGGTGTTCCAGTCCTGTCAGTGTTGCCTGTCTGTCCTCCCTCAGTCTGGGTGGAGATGGGTGGTAGATGGGTGGTCTGTGGCCATGCCAGGGTCGGCGGTGGAACCTTCAGTGGGGGCAGGCGGTGGGGGCGAGGGAGGGGTGGAGCGGCGGTGGTCTGAGGTTAGAGGGAGGGATGCGAACAGGGAGGAAGAGGGGGGGAGTGGCAGTGGTCTGGAGGGTAGCGGTCAGTGGAGAAGCGGTCAGTGGAGCAGTGGTCAAAGAGACAGAGGTCAAGGAGGTCATAGTCACTGGAGTAGATGACCTGTAGTTCTGACTCTTGATGGGAAGATTAGCGGTACAAGATTAGTTAACATGATTAATCACAAGATCACAGTGAAAAGATACAGCCCACTGGGCACAGACGTCAATTCAACAACTATCAACGTTGGTTCAACGTCATTTCATTGAAATGACATGGAAACAACGTTGATTCAACCAGTGTGTGCCCAGTGGGAATACGTGTATCAAAAAGTCTTACATACTGGGAGAATATTGTAGCTGCAGTAATTAATCAGTAATGAATATATGTCTGTAGAAATACTGAATTAATCCAGTAAACAACCTACCACTGACTCAAGAGTAGCGAAGTCATTCTGCATGAGAGACAGAGGTGCAGGGTTAGATCGTGTGGCTAAAACCTACGAGCTCTCACACTCATGTCAGAATTAGACGTTCATCCATGTTTCTCAAACGTCAAATTTCAAAGTTGTTCCAAATGTCACATTTCTAAGTGTTTTGGTTAAGTTTAGGCATTAACTCAGAATTTTTAAGTTAGGGTTAAGTTCAGGCATTAACTCCAATTCTTAAAGTTAGATATTAAACTCCGAATGGTTAAGGTAAGGGTATGTTGGGATAGGCTTAAAACAAAAATATCAAAAACAACTTTCTACCACTGTATTTGAACCTGGCAACCTTTGGAATCAGATGCTTACGCCGATCCACCATCCCTGTCCACAATGCTGTAGCAAAATCGAAACCCACTGAAGGGAACAGTGCTCATGTTGCACTAGTGGCCGGTTTCAACGTTCTCTTTCCTGTGTCTACCGCACATGCTATTGGCCA